AGTTGTAAGTAGGGTTGTAAGTCCCCTGGTATGGGTTCTAGGTATAGTTCTCCTACTTATAACGCTACTTACAACTACCCATGAACCTCCAAGTAGGCTAGGCCCTCAATACCTGCGCCCTGAAGTTGGGACTTAAGATTGTTATTGTTTGCTTGTAAGGTTTTCTTTGCGTCTGCATTGTAGATAAGGCAGATAAGGTGCCAACTGCGAACATGGCACTTATGAGCATTTCACTCAAGGTCATCGTTTTGCGGTTTCACAAGCTGCAACAATTTTCCCTTCCAAAGTCTTCCGCATAGCGGTCCCTCCTGGATCGATGGAGCAGTCATGAGTACTTACGACTGCATCGGGGTCTTCAAGGATCCGGACTCCAGGCTTTAAAAGTTCAGACGTGCCGTAGTTTAGATTGTCTTGTCGCATTCAGATTTAGTTTGGCTCCGGTTGTCGAATTTCAGGCCCTAGGGCAGGCCCTAGGCCAGGCTGAAGATTCAAGTCTGAAGCCCGCTAAGCATATATGTCATAATGCATAACGGCATAAACATACTAGGTGTTCAATGATGCTTTGAAGCGTTGCTCCTTCTGCCTGCGCCAGGCAGAAAAATGATACTTCACAGTCACGGCAAGTCCAGTGCTGCTTCGGCTGGGAGCTCGGTCTGGATGGGCTGGGCTGAGCTGGGCTGGGCTGGCCGTATGATATATGTAAAATGTAGTCAATGTAAGTGCTATGTCAGGGTTATGGTATGTCGGGAGTTTCTATGCCAGTGCAGTTGAACAGCTATGTTTCCGCATCCGACATCGCAGAGCGACTTGTGGACTGGAGCAGCATAATGTTCATAACTCATGATGCAGACTCTCGGCCGTCGCTCTAAACCAACTGTGAACAGAAACCATGTGGCCCAAGGCCCCCCCAGATCCTTATGACAAAGGCTTCTAGAATCTAGATTGAAGACTCTAGGTTCTGGATGCTAAGTTGGCGACTGCAGACCCTAGGGTAGATTCTAATTCTAGATTCTAGATTCTAGCTGATTCTTTCTGCTTTCAGATTCTAGATCGTGAAACTGCTCAGATCAGTCTGCGTTGCACATGTGCTGTCAGCAGCTGTTGACTTGTGTTTGTGCAGCAGTCCAGAGCGCTTTTCTTCCACTGACCAGTGTTTATTGCTGCAGCTGCAAAAGCTAGTCACAGTAGCAGGCACGGGGCACATCATGCGCTTGCAACAAACCACAGAAACCGATGAGGCTTGTAGGTTGACTACGTCGTATTAGGTCTAGGTCAGGTTGATTGTATAGGTGATCACGATGGGGTATGCTGCATGGTGACGTAGCGGGTACACCCAGCTTTGTCTAGCGTAGCAGTATAGCAGCGTAGCAAGTCTTATGCGAGCGGTCGCTGCAGTGCAGAGTCAGGGCATGCCGCCCAAGAAGCGACGAGCAGTTTTGAAAAAGTGCAAAAGCCGCTCGAAATTTAAGCGGTTGACGTCGAGGAAGGCAGCTGTGACCGAAGTTGAGAACGCAGCTGAAACCCTGGATGCACCAGAGTCACCAGAATGCAATGATGGCAGCGGTGACATGAACGGAGACAGCATGGACTGCAGCATGGACGCAGATGACAACAGAGCCGAAGACTTTGACTGTGACCGTCAGGCAGCAGATGATGCTCAGGCCGTGGCCTTTGATGCTGCGGGTGGCCAGACCGACGAAGCAGACGAAGCAGCTTTGGAAGCTGCGGAGCACAGCGATCAGGAACCGTGTTCAGCTGCATCTACAGCTCACGATGATGAGGAGAATGAGGATGATGAAGCACCAGAAGAAGATGAACGCATGATGCAGCATGTTATCCCGATTAAACCCAAGGCACACCAGACCTCGCCTGCGACGTACGCGTTTGATTCGCACTTTGGCGACAATGGCTATGATCAGATCGTTTCCTTCATTGAGCAGGCGCTCAGCTTCGTGGACAACGGTGCGCGAGCAGACCTCGCTGGCATGCTTTCCGCAGACATGAAGAGTCTGCGCCTTGGCACGGCTTGTTCTGGTTCAGATGGCCCGGTGGTCTGCGCGAAGGCTTTTAGCGATGCCGTCCGCAACGTGTTCGGCGTTCAAACTGAAGTGGAACATGTCCTCTCTTGTGAGCGAGACCCGCCGAAGCAAGTGTTCCTTCAGCGTATGTTTGCCAACTCTTTTCAGGGTTCCTCCATGGATTTTCTCGTGCCGGAGACTGGCCAGCTGCGGTCAGGACCTGGATCTTGCGCCTACGACATTTTGTGCCAGAAGAAGAGGAAACTGCCAGAGACTGGCGAGTTGATCTTTGGCTTCCCTTGCCAGGATGTGTCGAAGTTGAATGGCAACTCAGAAGGTCACCGGGCTGTGATCAAAAACAAAGCAGCCCGCACCGGCTCCGTTCTCGATGACATCTTGTGCTATGTGCAGGCAAATATGGCCTGCCGTGACGGCCGGCACTTCACTGGAGTCATCATGGAGAACGTTTTGGGCTTGGCAGATGCTCCACGGGGGGTCAATCCTGACACAGGTGAGCAATGGAGAACCAATCTAGACTATGTCAACAAGAGGGTGGAGGAGTTGGGCATGTCCATGATCACTTTTGCGCTGGATCCGAGGCAGCTCGGCGTCCCAGTTTCGAGGGGCAGGCTCTTCATGATTTGCTTGCCGAATTGGATGTTTCAAGATGCGAACATTTCAGTAGCTGAAGCATGGGCTTGGGCTGCAGATACCATGGACCGGATGTGTTGCAACACCGTACGCAAGCTTGACGACTTCCTCTTGCCAGAGACCTCTCCATTGGTGACTCGCGCGAAGGAGATCGCTGCAGAGATTGCTGAGAGAAGGGAGATGCAGGTGCGGCAGGGACATAAGAAAACAAAGCAGAAGTGGCCAGAAGCGCATGCGAAGGCACTGCAAAAGGCTGGTGTGGATTGGTGGGAGTCTTGCCAGCCCGATGCAGGCACTTTGTCCAAGTGGCCCGGGTTGCGTGCCTTGAATGATCGACAACACGAGCTCTGTCGCATCTTCCAGATCAGGCACCCTGATCCGAGGGTTTGTGGCATGGACCTCTCCCAGGCATTCCGAGGCACGAAGCACGTGCGGCACAACCACTGCGAGATAGTCACGCCTCATGGGCAGCTATTTCTTACGAGCCGTGCCCGCTTCGCCACCGGCCTGGAGTGCATGTGGCTTCAACAGCTGCATTTCGGAAAAGATCAGTTCAAGGTGGACTCTGACTTTGACGAGCAGCAGCCCCTGCTGCAGGATCTGGCCGGGAACGCCATGAACTCCTTTTGCCTCAGTGCGGTGTTGACGATCAAAAGGTTGCTCGAGGCTCGCTTGCGAACAGCAGCCTTGCTCAAGCAGCGGCAGCAGCAGCGCTGGCGCACGGCCATGGCTTCCATGTGCTCGACGGGCTCGGGTCGTGACACCAGAAGTGAGCAGGCACGGTGCCAGCGCTCCAGTACCATCGATCAGTTAATGGGTTTTGAGGACTCTCAAACCTGAATGTCTTGTGTGGTCGTCACAGGCAGCCTATAAACTTGTGCTCTTCGGTTTTTCGGTCTTGAGTTTGGAGTCTGAAGTTACTGGTGTTTCATATGTTTTCGTTTCGATATTTTTGGGCTAGCTGCGGACCACAAGTCGTAGAGTCGTAGAGTGTGTGCAGACATGGACTATGTGCGTGAGCCCGTGGACAGGAGCGTGGGGCCTCGGGCCTCGGGCCCTGGACCGCTTCCAAGCACTGGAAACAAGTTGGCGTGCTGTGAGTAGATCAGTGGCCCTCTAAACTGTTAACTGTTAACTGTTATCTTTATTCTCTCCATTTCAGGCCTTAGTCTTAGTCTTGGTCTGTTTATCTAGTACTCTATGGTCGGACGGGCTGGGTGGGTGTCGTGACGGTGTCTGGGGCCCATCGCCCAGGCAATCAGGATATCATGCAGTGTGGGGCGGGGGAAAAGGCCAAGAACAGGCTTTTGTGGGAGGTGGGGCGGGTGGGGTGGGGTGGGTCCAAGCTTCAGCCCTGCTGCTTGCTTTTGAAGCCACACCGAGACTTACCGCCAGCCGGCTGTTGCGTCCGGGGTAGTTGACTTGCAGCTTGACTCCGTGAGTCCTTGAGTCCTTGATTCATGATGTCATGTCTGCGAAATAGTTATGCATTTGTTTCCATGTCGTTACGCAATTGTACACAATATTACAAGGATTGCAACTGCATTCTGAAATGGTTCAAATCAGGTTTTGAGTGCCTGCTGTGACTTGTGTCTGTGACGTTTGCGCAGTGAAGCATGGCTCCCAAGAGCCAGGCTGGAAGTGAACTTTCCCTGCCTGTGGGGGAAGGGTCGGAGGATTGGAAGTCGCCTGCATTTCGAGGATGCCGGTGGTGCCGGCGGCCGAGGAGCTTCCCCAACCCCTACCACAGTCTGAGTCCCAATCGTCCTTTCCTTGCATTCAAAAGCGAAAGACATTGCGAGTGCAACACATGCACCTGCTGCATTCGCACGTCTCGCCCGGACATCAAGACAAAGGAGCAGAAGGACAAACTTCAGAAGGAGATGGCAGAGGACGACACGAAGCACGCCGCCCACATGGAGATCGTGAACAACTACGAGACCCAGCATCTTGCGAACATGACCAAGAAGAGGAAGCGTGGTGTTTACGTGGATCCGGAGATGGAGGAGTCGGCCCCCAAACAGGTCAAAGTTGGGAGTGAAAGCTCCTTAGAGTTTCGCCAGGCGCTCGGGGTGCTGTGGCCTAAGCAGCTCTTCGAAGCGACCACTGGGAAGAAGGTCAAGGAGAGCGACATGACTACCATCGAGGAAGGCACCAAGGTCCTGAGAGGCATTCTTCGCCCCAAATCGGAAGGCTGCCCAGAGGGTTGCACAGAGCTGACCAACGTCCATCGCAGCTTCGCCGCCAGCATCACGACGGCTGCGGACTCGGAGACGGCCATCGGCAAGGACCAGCTCGATAAGACGTGGGCGGAGGCGCGCAATGCCCAGGAGTTTGCCACGAAGGAGACGGATGTGGATGGCGAGACGCAGCTCCAGCTCACGGGTGGCCTTAAGCGTCCAGCCTCCCGTGACGAGTGGGATGACATGTTCGACTTTGGGCCGCATGTTCTTGGAGGCTGGCTGGGATCATGGAAAACTGGAAACAGCTAAACAAATTACAGTAAACATAAGTAGTTTAGGACAGTTGAGGAACTTTAGCAATGCTGGCCAAAACGTACATCGCAAGCCCGGGCTTTCGAACTCCGAAAAACATCGAAGCTCTAAGGCCGAAGGCTTATCCAAAGGTCTTAAATGTAAGTCTTTTAACTCGAGACTCTTGGCCTCTAGACTCTAGACTCTAGACTCTAGACTGTACATTGTACACTGTTCTGTGCGCCGTAGCTGTAGAGTCGAGATTAACGTTGGCCGTCGCCAGGCCCTGCGCCTGAGGAGCCAGCCCCGGTAAGAAAGGGGAAGGGTCGTGGGCGTGGTGGTGGAAAAGGCGGCAACAAGGGAAGAGGCAGAGGCGACAGAGCGGACGGTGACACCCCGCCGCCGCCTCCCGCCGCCAACAAGGCGGACGTCAAGCTCACGAAAGAGTTGCAAATTTCAGAGAAGGTGATGCTGGATGCCCAGCATCTGTTGCAGAACCTGTCGACTGGAGAGAATTTGACAGGGGTCAAGACGAAGGCCCTGAGCAACATTCAGAGCAAGATCTCCACGAGACTTTCGCCGACGTTGGTGGCCCTTTACACGCAAGGCTACGATCCAAGCCAGAACGCGGTTGAGACTCCGGGGATGAAGACCCTGGAAAGCCTTCGAGTGCTACAGCGGCAGCTGCAGCAGGTCGAAGGTCTTGTGGCGGCCATCAATGATGACGATGCGTCGGGTGACAGCATCTGGAAAGCAGGCCTAGAGGCGAAGTCTCCCGACTTCGAGCCGTCGAAGCAACTTGGAGAGTTCGCTTTGCAGAGAGAGGTGGACCGCGCAGCGAAAAACCAGAACTTCGAACGTCTTTTGGAGCTCCTGAAGTGTGAGCCCGCCGTGGCTGACGACCCCACCGCCTTCAACGCAAGCCTTTTGGCCGAAGACAAACGGAACATTTTTATGAACCGCGAAGTCATGAGGCTCTTGGCGGAGCTGCTTCGGTGCGACAACAAATGTGCAGAAGTTGCCAGGCTCGTGGCCGTGGTTGTGGACTCAAAGTTGCTAGAGCAAGACTCCCCCCTGCTGGCAGAGCTGAGGTTGCTTCAGACACTGTTGTCTGCGAGCGATGCTTCGGTCCCAGCGGATGCTATCCAAACGGCTTTGGCCAAGCTTCAGGGTGACAAGAGCTTGAAGCTTCACAAAGTGGTGAACAACTTTGCAACAGGACTGCAGACCATCAATGATGCCGCGAAGGCCTTGAAAAGTCGGGCCTCTGATGCGGCGCTGCAAATCAGGCTAGGCAAGCTGGTGGCAGAGGTTGCAAAGCCGCGCGACAACATCACGGAGGTTGCCCAAATCAACCACTTTCGGGAGCTCATGTCAGAGAGCAAGCAAATCAAGGCTGCTGCAACTCAGGACTTCCTGAAGCAGAATGTCGATGAGTTGCAGAAAATCTCCGCGACTATGAAGGACAGACTTGCCAAACTGCTAGGCTAAGCTGCTGAACGGTTTGGGGTAGTTGGTGTGTCCAAGTCCAGAGTTCAGTGTTTTTGGCTTGTAAGTTATAAGTCGAAGTCTAGGTGTCTCCAGGCGAGAATGTTGAAATTTCGAATCAGCGTAGGCTAGGTGGGTTTGGTTTTAAGCCTAGGTCTGGAGTTTAGAGTCTAGAATCTCTAGACTCGGGGTGACTCTCCCCCCCTCCTCCAGCCCGGGACCGGCTGATGCTCATGATGCTCGTGTCTGGTGGGGGCAGGTTGCTTACGCTCGTCGAGTTGCGGGGTGTTTTGGTGGATTGCCTGCAGCAAAGGGACTCCCCTCCCCCCTCCCCTCCCGGGGCCTATAGACTTAGGAGTGTTGGTTTCGTATTTTTTCGGTGCGGAGGAGAGCAATGATTAAGGATTAAGGCTGAATGAGGTTCCGGGCTTTTTTTACGTGTGAGGTGACCAGAGTGCCACTGACCCACAATTCACTCGTTAGGAGTTCTGGGTTTTGCGTAGTTTCAAGGCTCAATGCAGCTGTTTAAGGTGCGTGCGTGTTGTGTGGGCAGATACGAAATCCCGGATACCTATGATTGCTGCTGTTTGGTCTGTCGGGTGGGAGCGACTTTTTTGCAGTGTTGCATTTCCCTAAACCCTAAACCCTAAACCCTAAACCCTAAACCCTAAACCCTAAACCCTAAACCCTAGTGAAAGAACTCATCAGAAGATGTTAAGGTTAAGGTAAGGTCGTTAAGGTAGTTGTTTTTGATTTCATGTGATTTGGCCTTGGGGCAGGCCTGGACCACGACAATCCGAGCCTCGAAGGATAATGACACAAGTGGGCTTTTCAAGTCGTGCTTTGAGAAGATGGTGGAGGCCGGCTCGGCCAGCCCAGATGCCGATGTTGCCGCCCAGAAGATCAAGGAGTTCAAGGACTTTGTGGACGCCGGCTGCAAGGACCCTCTGGAGGACAGCTTCATTATCATGGAGGGCGTCATGGAGACCCAGGAGGACTACGAGAAGTACAAATCCCTGCAGGAATCCTTGCAGCAACATCTTCAGGCTTTCCGGACTACTGTCGAGACCATGATCCACGGTGATGGAAGTTGGCTCTACCAAGACAGCCAGCCAAATGGAATGCTGCAAGTTCTTGAGTTGGTTTGCAAGCCCCAGCCGGTGCTGGAACAATTCGAAGGTTTCTCGGCCTGGAAATCCTATGCCCAGGGCAGATTGGACTACATGACCGAGGATGCCCTGGTGAAGACCTTGCAACCGCTCATGAAAAACGCGACATCCAAGAAGGTGCTGCGGCAGATCATTGAGATGGCGCTGGGCCGTGGTTCTGAAGCCATGGATCTGTCTGCTACTGGCACCAGTGAGGACATGGTCAAGTGCATCGCCGACGCGATGAAGACCTGTGACCAGATCCTCAGGAATGTGAAGGACATGCCGTCCTACCTTGGAAGAAAGGTCGAACATGTGGCAGACATTTTCCAAGAGGATGGCGCCGAAGTTTCTGGAGCCTCAGGAGGTGGCACACCGCCATTGTGGGCATTGTGCTGCCTGCCAAAGGCTTTGGGAATCGTCCTCAATGCCAAGAGCTTGACAGGCTGGCGCCCCTGGGAACCTCCCGAGTCGGCCAGAGATGGACAGCTAAATGAATCCTTCCCTGTTTTGTTTCACCAGAAAACACCTCCCGACCAGCACCCCCAGCCCTGGCAAAGGCAAGTCAATTCAACTCAACAGTCGCCCCTCGTCACAGAAAACTTACTGCAAGTCTTGTCATTAACTATGATTCCATGGTGCCCTGAAGGCCAGAGCGCTGGCTTGCGGAATGTCAAAGAAGAGCCCTACAGCGCAGATCATTGGCAGAGCTTCGTGAGTGCGCTTTTGTCATCGAGCCTTTGCGCTGTATGTCCGTTGTCTGTTTTGTGGTTCGGGTCAGGCTTCTGATGAATGGATTTAGGTCCGGATTCCAGCTTCGAAGTCTGCAAGTCTCATCGTAAGGCAGGAGCGAATCCTGGCCCCTGTACTATACACTTCCTCAGCTCCCACAAAGGCAGCCTTAGCCGTAGCCTTTACTTAAATTTAGCCTTAAGCCGCCCTTAAACTTAAACAGGCTTTCATAACCTTAAACGGTGAAACACTTGGTGGACTAGTTCCTTGCGCTGCAGCTCATGGCGACTGGCGTTCGTGATTCGCAATGCTGCAACTGTAGTGGGCACTCTGTTGTGGTCCTCAGGTCCTAACGTCCTAACGGTAGAGATGGAGACCACAAGTCACGTGTACAAATACGTATATCTAAGTATCATATGCAGCCATGTGGTAGGGCTTGAAGTACCAACCCCAGATACGTGAGTACGTCCCGTCCCCGGTCCTAGCCAGAAAATATTTAGTACCGGTATCCAGTTCTGCTGCTTTCCAAGGAAAAGCGGCGTGGACGACTTCCGTGGTTTCTTGCAGGGCTTGGACGTCCCGGACGAGCATGCTGGGCAAGTCGTGGTACTCACGCAGAAGCTCTGCGAGTTCCTGGAAAAGGCCATTAAGGAGCTGGCCACCGAGCAGGTGCAACATCTTCAGAAGGCCATCCTCACGAGCCAGGAGGTGGTGAAGGGCGCCCTGAATTCCGATGACATCCTCCCGGCCATCTCCTCCATGGAAAAGGGGTGCGATGCCACGATGTTGCAGAAGGTGTTGCCGATTGCTGCTTCCGATCACTCCAAGGCGCTGCACAAGCAGGTGAAGTTGTTGGAGGCCTTGCGCGACCTGCTTCCCATCGTGCAGACAATGGCTCCCGTGATCCTTAGTGACTTGGGTCAAGATGTCCTGTCGATGGACAAGCCGTTGCTCGATCAAGCCCGGACCATGAATTGCACCCTGGCGGTTGTCCAAGCCCTAGCCCGGCCACTCAGGCCGCAAGAGACGCGTGCAGGGCTGGCGCGAAGGGCTCGGCTCATGGTGGTGAGCAAGAGCAAGGAGGGCCCCATCAATTTGCCATCCAACCTTGATCTTATGATGAACAAAGTGGCTGGCGCCGTGGATGTGGAAATTTCACCATCCAAGGCCAGCAGTATCGCAAGCGGGGGTGTGAGCAGCACTCGGCAGTAGGCAGCTCGAGCCAGGCACTGCTTCATGCCGCATGCCGCCTTTTTCGATCGAATTTCGATCCGTAGGCCGGCTCTCTTCATGTCGAAGAGCCGAACACCGAAGAGTTACTAGTTGACTGCTTTTGGCCGGGATTGCAGGGGGTTGCTTAGGTGCTGTGCCCATGCTCTAGCTTTCAAGACTCGCGTGCCAAGGGTTTAGGACTTAAGCCTTAAGACTTTAAGACCTTAAGACTCTAAGACTCTAAGACTTTAAAACTTTAAGACTTTAAACCTAAGCCTAAGCCTCAAGCCCGAAGGCCCAAGGCCCAAGACAGCCAGCTACAACGCATTCCCTGCCTTCGATAGTTGCTGTGGGCCAGACACGTGCAACCATGCTTAGAACCCGGACTTGGGGACATGCAGCGCTGCTCGCACGAAGCAAAGCAAAAGGTTCAAACAGATTTGTTCCGCAAGTCCTCTGTCATGCCGTTGCCGTTGCCTGGCCTCGTCCTCCATTCCTCGTCTTTGTCGAAGCCAACGCTCGTGCGTGCCCAGGTTGAAGCCTTCCCTGTCGCCTCTCGACCGTGAGGTGCTGCCCAGGTCTGCAAGTGCTGCAGGATGTCCTAAACTAAAAATTCCCAAGATGTCTTTAGTCCTAATGCTAAGGCTTACTCTAGGTAGTTAGGGCTTGGGGCCTGCAAGACTCCAAGACCATGACCTAGAATCTAGACTAGAAGGTAGACCTAGAACTAGAACATTGAAGTTGTATTGTGCGGAGTTTTGGATGTCATCCTGCAGCGCAAAGTTTCACTTCATCTGAGATCGGATTTCGTTCCGGCAAAGGTCGAAAACAGACCCTCAACAGTCAAATTCAGAACGTCTTGCCGCATTTTGCCTGCTTAGCAAGGGCTATCACCAAATATATGCCCCAAAGCATGTCAGACTGCGGCACCGCAAGTGTGGACACCCCGCCCGGTGATGTGGACACACAGGCCCCGTAGATGTGGACAACAGGCCCCGTAGGTGTCGACACAGGGGCCCAAAAGCTGTGGACAGAGAGGCCTCGAGGTGTGGACACTCGGGCCCCGCAGGTGTGGACATGCGCTCTTGCCAAGAACCCTTGAAGGCAGCATGCATCAAGCCCACCGGCGGTATATAGAACATTGCCCGGGAACCCCCCAAAGCTTGGCTCTTACCCTCCTTCCTCTCTCTCTCTCTCTCTCTCTCTCTCTCTCTCTCTCTCTCTCTCTGGCCCCACCGGCTTGTCCAGCCTTTGCTGATCAGCATCTGGTGCTTCTCTTCTGTGCTTTCCAGGGCCTGAGACAACACATACACAATACCAAGCGCTGTTTCGCGGGTTCCTGTGTAGCTCAGCTCGGACGCTCAGCTGGAGGCGGACTTGTTCCAGCGGGTCAAGGTGCTGAAGCCGTTTTGGCCTGCAGGCCAACATGTTCTGAGCCCAATCCAAAACATCTGCGCTTTTGACCAACGTCTGAGTGTGTGCTGCCGAAACCACCTGCTCTTCTTGTCACAGGGCCGACCTAAACCCGATACCACTGCTGTTGATTCTTAGCTCACTTCCCGAAAAGCCACTGGCTTCGTGTCTGAGGTCAGAACAAGCCAGAGCATTGTGCTCATTGTCTACAGCAGGCGGCCGGAGGGATCGGACGCTGGCCACGCGATCCGAGACCTCCGACGCACTGGCAGAAGCAGTATACTGTCCGGAGCTTATAGCCTGTCATGTTGATGAAGCAGGCATGCACACTGAACCCTGCTTGAATCCAGCGACACCCTGGTGAACCGAGACCTCCAGAAGATGGACGTGCTCGGCGACCAGCTCACCATGGTGCAGCGCCGCGTCGACGAGGCAACATGTGACAGAAGACGGAGAGAAGGATAGGTAGGATCGAAGAGGAGAGATGGGAAGGGTGAGTCGGCACGTGACGAATGTACCGCCGCTGACCAGGGGTCGGTGGTCCTGACGGAGGCAGCGACGAAAGTGAAGCAGGGTTTGCTGTTGTTGCCGGGGCAAAATTTGAAGGCCATGCAACAAAGATGGCCGAGTGTGTTTCAGAGCGCACCCGCCTCCTGAAGACTTACCGAATGTGGCGGTCCAAGGGCGGGGGCGCTGAATTCGTGCCGTACCACAAGCTGCACTGGGTTGCACTCAAATTCGCGTGGCTCACGAAGCAGAAGCGAGCGCGGTTGCACGTCTCCAAGGGTGGTCGGATGAAGAGGGGGCCTCCTTGCCCTCGCAATTGCAAGGAGCGGGCTACCTGCAATGGTGACGCAACGTGTCCCTTGTACAAAGAAGCCGCCGCCCAAGTAGGCGAAGGAGTTCTGCCGGTTTCTGCTCAAGGAAGGGCCGTTTCATCCGAACAGTCGCTTCGCGACGATGAACGTGCTCTTCCGAGAGTATCCGCAGGGCGAGATACCCGACACCGTGCCCTTGCCGCCCTTAGCGACAAGGGTGCGGAAGAATGCTTGTGGTCGGAAGGACTTGTGCTGCTCTAAGAGTTGCGGCTGCATGGGCGGTCGCCGTCGTGAGCGCTTGCGCAATTTTTGAAGGATGGTGAGCTGGAGCTGGAGCGTCGCAAGGACCTCCGGCCCGGTTTCATGGAGCGCCGGCACCAATAGGAAGCCCAGGCAGAAGCTGACACAGGCTCCTCGGATGATGAATATCAGCCGATGCCTGGCCGTCCACGCAAGCGTCGCATGGAATTGGGCGCAGCTTTCGATGAGGCCTGCGTGCGCCACTACATGGACGAACCTTGGATCGGCGGACCTCCTTGAAGAGCCTAAGCAAAATTGTACTTAAAGAGTCTTTGAAGTCCGCATCTACAATAGGAGATGGAAGGTTAGAAGATCTGCCGCAAGAGTTGCCTTCCAAGAACTCAGAAAGATCCGACGATCCAAGGCGGAGCCCGAGTAGCATAAGAGCAGTTCTGTTGAATGCACTAATTCAGAGCAGCTTGTGGTAGACATAGAAGGCCAGTTCGATAAGAGTGCACCAGGGCAGAAAGAGGACAAGCATGTCAAGAGCAAGGCAATGCTTTCTAAGGGACAGAGCGTCGCAGTTTAGATCAGTTGTTAAACCTTCAGCAGATGCTACTAGGTTTCAAGACACACACGCACGGAACTGGCCTGGCACGGTTGCATGTTTTTAGGGGTTTAGGGGTTTTAAGGGTTTAGGGGTAAGGGTTTAGGTTTAGGGTGTAGGGTTTAGGGTTTAGGGGTTGAAGGGTTCAGAGGTTTAGGGGTACTCGGGTTTCGGACCAATGGTTTCGGGATTGGGCCTGAGGGTCTATCAGGGTTCAGCTTACTCGAGCTTAGGTTTAAGTTGGTCTACCAGGGGTTTAGGGTTTCGGGTTTATGATTTAGGGTTGAGGGTTTAGGGTTTATGGTTTAGGGCTCAGGGGTCTAGCAGCCCACACCCGAAATCGTAAAGCACGGATTAGTCTAGTGGAGCCTCAAGCTCAACAGGTAAGATGAAGGTAGGTAGGATCAAGGATCCCTTGTATGATTTGGGATACCCCAACCTCACCCTAGACCCTAATCCCTAAAGTAAACTCTAAACCCTAAGCCCTAGACCCTAATCTGCAACCTGAAAGCCTAGACCCTAAGCCTAGATTGACATAGTCCTTCGCGCAACCTCAATCGCCAAACCGGAGCTTGCTTCGTACTTAGAGTCAGAACAGGCGGAGCTTTAGGGCTACATTCTTATGGTTTAGGGGTTGACGGTTTAGGGTTTAGGGGTTCGAGGGTTCAGGGTTTGGGGTGTAGGGTTTCGAGGTTTAGGGTCGGGGGTTTAGGGCTCGGCAAGTTGGGGTTGAGTTTCTGGACTCAGGGTCTCAGGTTTAGGATCTTAGGGTCTTAGGGTTTAGGGTTTTCAACGAAACCCGTCGGTACTATGCAAACCCGAAGCCCCACACCGAAACCCTAGACCTTAAACCCTATACTAAACCCTGAACCCGAAACCCTAAACCCTAGACCCTATACTGAACCCTGAACCCTAAACCCTAAACCCTATACTAAACCCTGAACCCTAAACCCTAAACCCTATACTAAACCCTGCGCAGTGCTATGCTCAAGGGAGGCCTTTAGGGCCGGGTCGCACTTGGAAGAAGGATGGCTTACAATGTGGCTTGGATTGTTTGTTGTTCAGGGTTTAGGGTTTAGGGTTTGGGGTTTAAGGTTTGCCGTAGAGTGGCGCATAGCGGAAGTATCTAGCGACAGTGTAGTTTCGAGTGCATCGTAGTTTGACGATTCGCCGCTAGAGCTTGCATGTGGAGTGCTCCTTTTTGCTCTCCCACCCCACGCCGTCTGAGGCGGTTAAACCACCCAAACCTATTCCTTTTAGGGTTTAGCTCTAAACTCATTCCATGCTTTTCTTCTTTACTTGAAGCTCGAAGGTCGCAAAGCCAAACAGCACAAACAAGGGGCGGGGCCAGGAGAGCCAGGGGGGCAGAACAGGGCAGGGCAAGCAGGGGCAGCAGCCAGGGCAGGGCAGGGGAGGGGCCAGGAATTGGGACCCTGAAATCTGCTCGCTGGTGGCTTCCAGGAAGGACCGTTTTGCGGGGTCCGGGCCCCACAGCCCTTCGTGTATGGGGTTCAGGGTCAGGACTTTGATAACATGCTCCGGTGCCGGGCCCATCGTGGGTGCTACCGACCTCCGAGCTGCGGGCGGCGGCGAACGACCTGGGTCGGCATGCGCCATCGAGGTCGACGGGCCCCCAACAAACGGGGCGGCCCAAGCCGTGAGTTTAGGGTTTTGGGTTTAGGGTTTGCGGTCTGGGGTTCAGGGTTCAGGGTTTAGGGTTTAGGTTTGGGTTCATTGGGGTTGCATTTTTGGGTTGAGCGTCCTTCAAGGGTTTCTACAAGGTTTCGATCCGGGTCTACAGTGTTCCTTGACGCCTGCACAGGCTTTTTTCTGGGTTAGGAATTGAGGATCAGGGCTTTCTTTCTACTAAGCCCCAAAACCCGAAAGCCTGAACCTTAAAGTGTTGAAGGCCTAAGTGTTTTTGTCTTAGCTTAAATTTGGTGTATGGTCCCTGAGTCAGATCTTAAAACTTGGCGGTTTCTGCTGCGAGTTTCAAGACTTCAGGTTTTGGATTTACGGTTCAGGTTTTAGATCAGAGATTTGTGGTTTAGGGGTTTAGGGCTTAAGGGTTAGGGTTTAGGGCTTTGGGTTTAGGGTGAAGGGGTTTGGGTCTAAGAACCAAGAAATATGCTTGGAGATACGGATCTCACATCGGGGCATAGCGATGCAAAGCAGTTGTTCAGCTGTTCAGGTTACAGGTGTAGGGTTTAAGGTTACGGGGTTTGGGGATAGTTTCAAGTTCATGTGTCAAGGATGTTCAAGAATTGTTTGTCCGTTATCCTCCTGTTGAGGTGAACCAGTTGGGAACCCGAAATACGACACCTTGAAGCCCTGAAGCCTAACGCCCAAAACCAACCTTAAACCTTAGATCCTGAAACGATGCCTTGGATCCTAAGCCCAGAACCCTACTTCAGGGTTTACGGCTTTAGGGTTACGTCAGAGAGCCCAGTGCCCCTTAATTCAGGATTATACTTGCCATAATAAGCAAGGCGCCCCTCTATTCAGGCTATTAAGGTTGATTCCTGAAGTACGGGGAGAACCGCAGAGTATCACTACTGGGAGCTTCACGGTATTTGAAGCCTCACTAGACTGCAGATTTTCAATGTTCTCGGGTTGAGTTTTCGCAAACCCGGTTGCGACCTATTTAAAGCCCAAGTATAGCAGTCTAGCACAGGTACTTCAGTTTGGCGGCTTAGAACCAGGCTACAAGTGCGAAGATTTGTTTATAGGTGCCGTCCAAAATTAAAGCCCCCAACGCCATGCTCACACCGAAATCCAAAAGCACCACCCTTCCCTCGCCATCCCAGAAACCCTTTGATCGATCTTTTTATACGGTTCTTGTTGGATTCGATAAGCTTCATGTGTTGGCATGTGTGATTTACGGTCCATCACCCTAAACTCGAAGCCCTTGCGGTGGAGTTTTACTGGCTTCAGGTTAGGGGAGTGGCGAAGTTTTTGGGTTTGGTGGGGTTTGGCGCTAGCTTACATGGCTTTTGGTTTGAGGTTCGGAGTTCAGGTCTTAATACCCCACATCCTTAAAGCCCAAACCCAAAACCTTCAAGCCCTAAACAACCCTACAGCCCTACACTAAGCCCTCATTTTATGAAGAAAGGGGCCCGCCAGGGAAAAATGGGTAGGGACTCGCCGACTAAGGTCAGCGATAGCTTCCAGGTCATGATGCAGTGTATCGAGGCAACCTCTCCTCGTTATCAGCAGCCCGATTTAGGATTCAGAGTTTAGGGTGGAGGCATCAGGGTTAGGTTTCCATTTAGGATTTAAGGTTTAGGTTTTGGTTCTGGCAAGAGCTTGTGCAGGGCCTTCTGAGTATTTTGTGGTTGTTAGAAGGCTACTTCGGGTTAGGTGGTTGCTAAGGCTTTTGTTTACAGATTGCTAAAGCCTGAACCCCAAACCCCCTAAACCTGCAACCCTACTTTCGAAGGGTTCTTTTGAGAGGTTCAGGGTATGGGGAGCCTGGTGAGAGACCCTAACCATACCGCACACCCCATTGCCAAATCTCAAGATGCAAGTCGGCGTGGGCTTCGCATTCAAGCTCCCCTAAACCCCAAACCCTAAACCCCAAGCCCTAAACCCTAGACCCTAAACCCTAAACCCTAAACCCGAAACTCAAATTCTGATTCTTAATCCCAAGCTTCAGGCCACAAGCCCTGACCCCTTCGGCCTCAACCCAAACCCTAAACCCTAAAACCTAAAACCTAAAACCTAAAGCCTAAAACCCTAAATCCTAAGCCCTAAAACCTAAACCCCTAAACCCTAAATCCTAAACCCTAAAGCCTAAAGCCTAAAACCTAAAACCCTAAAGCCTAAAACCCTAATCCCAAAGCCCTAAAACCTAAAACCTAAAACTTTAAACTTAAGACCTAAAACCCTAAACCCTAAGCCCTAAAACCTAAACCCCTAAACCCTAAACCCTATACCCTAAACCCTAAACCCTAAACCCTTATACCCTAAACCCTAAACCCTGTAGCTGGAGGACCCGCTGTTCACTGAGACGTTGCGGCGCTTCGAGCGAGAGCACTGCCGTGAGTTTGAGGAGCAAGAGGAGAAGCTAGGCCTGTCGGTTTAGGGCTTAGGGTTTAGGGCTTTGGGTTTAGGGCTTAGAGTTTAGGGTTTAGGGTTTAGGGTTTAGGGCTTAGGGTTTAGGGCTTTGGGTTTAG